TTCCAGGCACACTCTATTTCTTGTATATATCATGCTTCTTCTTAACAGAACTTTGCTGATACTGAAGTTTAAAGAATGCTGTTGATTCTAAATATTCTTCAAATCATCCTGACTATCAACAGTATGTCAGCTGTATGTTCTCTAAAAACTTGAAATTACAAGCCATCACTGATTTATATATAGGATGACTGGGTGGATTCAATATCAGTTTACACAGAAATGTAGTATATTTTCACTTCTAATTTTTCAACAACTAACAGTCTTGATAGCCTTCCAACTCTCCTCATATCTCACTTGCTACTTGATCTGCGTGAAGTAGCATTGAAACCTATACACCATCTTGAATCACAAGGCCAAACAGCTATCAATTTTGACAGCTTTTCTGAATATCAGCTGCATATCTCAGCTCCTGCAGATAATATACCATCTTATCATGAAGGTGAGACAGCCTTTTCTTATTTTTGTCATGAACTGTTATTGATCAATTCTAATAGGAATAGCAAGAGGTTCATCTGCAGCTGCTGGATATATATTAGAAGATGAACTTGATGAAGCACAACATCCTACAGAAGAATATGAACTTCATGAATTACAGTCTAATACTATCCAAGTATAGCCTCAATGCAATTTGACAGGCAAGGTCTTTGACTGTAAGTATAGTGTTTTATTTCCTACAAATATATTATTTACTCACTATATATTCAAATCAGAAACCATGATTTGTTATCGCAATTTTTGATCATTGTCTAACTTGTTATCCAGTTGATGTGGATACTTAGCTATTTACATATGACAATCAATCTTGAGTATTTATTTATGGTTTTTCTGTTCTTCGTAATATATGACTTGTTTCTGTACACTGAACAAAGAGCATGACCTATAGTGTAGACACAATCAGACAATTATTAAATATTAACTGACAATGTTGGGAGTTTTGGAGCCAGTGACAATGAGTGAGACTCCTGAGCACAACACTCATCTTGTTTTTTCTTTCTTTCCTTCATTTTTTTTCATCCCTTTATTGACTGTATGGGCCTCGCCCTATGTGAACAGTCAGTACATAGTGTATGCGAGGATGATAGGTGCGGTCGTGACCGAAACAGACATTGGACTGGCCATCCATCTCACCACCATCTTCTCTCATCTGTTCTTGTGCTCAAGAGCAGAATTATGAACATAGATGACAGACTCCATGGCGAATTTGACGTCAACTTCAACTGTGCGCCATACCTAGCCTGAAATTCAGCTCTCGACGTGGGTCCAACGTCTCTTGCACTGGCTATGTTTTACTGAACAAAAAGGCCGAGATGGATCCATGCGCCGGAACTTGACTGCATACAGGACGTACACTATGTGGAGACGGCCTGGCGACAAACTAGAAATGTGCATTATTCGATGGATGAACAAGCAGCTCGACAGCCATCTCATTCTCGTTTCCGAATAGATGGAGTAACATTAGAACGCAGTTCCAGTATGCGTGCACAAAACAATCACTCTTACCCTCCAGCCCGCTGCAGTGCATGGCGCTTGCCGCTGCCCCGTGCGCGAGCGAGGTATGACACCGAGAGCGTCGAGAGCCCGCTGGGACGGCCGTGCTGATCGATGCCTGGCGGACGGTCAGTGCGCATACAGGCGCGAGGGCGAACGCAGCGTGCTCACCTGCCGCTCGCGACTCCGGTCGTGATAGCGCCGAGCGCGATGCAGATGTTCATCGCGTACCATGTCGTCACCCCTGAAATACTGATCGGCTCAGCGCCACGACGACAGCGAAGACGGCTACGCACATCGTTTCTTCGCCTTTTGGGCTCCTCGTCCACCGCTTCGATTGCCGTCTTCAGGCGCTCTTTGATCAGCATCTCGCCCTGGCTCGATGGCAGCTGCATGCGGACGGCACAGCCAAAGCGGGATGAGCATGCACCCCAGATACTACGGACTTGGTCATATACGACCCCTGCTGCTGTTCAGGGTCCCAGTCAGGGAGATACTGCGTAAGCGGGACGAGTGCGACTGTGCCGCCGCTGTCGACAGGGACGACATAGTCTACGTCTGTCAGGTCGGGGACAGGCAACGTCGCCCTGCGCGGAGGGAGATCTGCGCGCTGGACGTAGCGGACGCCGTTGGAGCTGCGTCCGCGTACGAAGTGTGCGGGCTGCGTCGGTGTGAGCGGATGCGGGCGTGGCGGTGGTGCGAAGCCGCTTGTGGGGTCCAGGCTGGGCGTGAAGTACTAGTTGTACGCGTGCGCGCCGCCCTGCG